TTGGTAAGCTTGATAATTAAGTCGAGGCTTATTGATCAGTGTTCTATTTCTTTGGCTTCGCCCTCCTGTATTTGTTTATGAGAAAATATATTGATTGGGTCAAGTATAAAAGTTCGACCGCCCACTGTAGATCTAAGATTTAAAATGCTTTCAAATTTTGAATAGAATACCAAACAGTAGACTGGTGTGTAAAATAGATCTTATTAAGACATCCAGTATTTGGTTAGGCCTAAATAATTTCATTTGGTTTCCAATATAAGGTCTACAAAGAAAATTTCTTTAAGTAAACCAATACTCACGGTTATTTTGTGGATGACTTCTGCTTCCACTGACTGGCTAACCATTAATGAACTTAATCTGAATAAAGGAGCAGGCAGTGACGGAGTTACTTCACGCACTTTAAACTCCGTCGCTCCTTTAATTTTTGCTCAATTTAATATTGCATTAATTCATATTTTTCATTTGGTTTTCCCCTGATTAGCTTAAAATAACTAAAGTCCTTCCTAAACAAAGGATACCCTCTTATAAAATCTAATTACCCGCCAACTTCACTACTCTCAATCGTCTCTAAATTTATTGAAAAACTTATGTATTCCCAACCAATTAATTTTCTGACAAAATACAACATTCTCAATTCCCATCAGTACGGCTTTAGAAAGAATCATTCTTCTTCGACATGCCATTCTTCATCTAATTAACAACGTCATTAATCTATTGAAAATATACAAAAAATCTTCGTAGTTTTTTTTCTTAGACTTATCTAAAGCGTTTGCTGTTATAAATCATAGAATATTATTACGGCCTATATGGGATTAGAGGAATCGCATTGAACTGGTTTAAAACTTATTTATTTGATAGGAAGCAATTTGTTACTATTGCATCATGTAAGTCGTCGACGGTGAATATAGTCTGAGGTGTGCCACAGGGATATGTTTTTGGTCCGTTAATATTTCTCATCGATGTGAACGATTTGACCAGGGGCAGTGACACGCGGCGGGTTTTATCCTTCGCCGACGATACCAAATTTTATTCAAATCCAAACATGGACACCCTATACAATACTGTAAATAACGAATTGCCAAAATTTGATGAGTGGTTCATCTCGAATAAGCTCTGTATAAACGCACTCAAAACATACTACAGTATATTATTTTTCATACTCCACAAAAAAGGCCTAATTTAAATAACCACAATATTTCATTTCTTTGTAGTTACATATGAGCGGAAGAGTGAGGTGCTGTTTCGGTTGTGTTTATACAAAAGAACTTAAAATGTACCACTCATCATTACTATCATTCCAACAACATTTTTAAGTCAATCAGTATCATATGTAAGCTTAGTCTATTTTCCCCTCAAACATATTAACCTCGCTTTACAATACTTTAGTTCTTCCCTACTTTCAATATTGTTAATTTGGGTGTCCAACTACCGTACAAATCTAGAAAAGCTTCATATACTGCAGAAACCTGCTACCAGAATAATTACTCATTCTCGATATAGAGAACCATCTGAACTTTTTTTAATACTCAAAATACTCAATATTAATCTTCATAAAACTCAAATAGCAAATTTTATGTATAGGTATATTTATAAGAAACCTCTATTACATATACCAGTTATGTTGAGAATTATTATGAGAATAGTAAGCCAAAATGTTACAATTTAAAAAATCCCCAGCTATATAATACCTTCTTGTCGACTTAACTGTAGCCAAATGTTTATTACTGCTATAGGTTCTAAGTTACGGAATAAACTTCCTTATAATATTAAACAATATGTTAGTTTACCTGTATTTAAAAAAACATTGAAATTACATTATTTAAGCCTATACCAAAATTTAAGTTATACATTACTAGCATCATTATTACTATAATTATTATTATTATTATTATTATTATTATGATCATATGATTAAAATTCAATATGAATATGAATAGCAGTTGTAAAATAGAGCGTGCTCTCTAGGTCGCAGCTTGTGATGCAGAAACATATATACAGAATTTAATGTTAAGAAGAAGGGCTATGGATTTACGATTATAACATCATGATCATAATCCAGTACCATACTCACGCGAATAAGCGGCCGGGCGCTTAAAATATTTTTTGCACTTTTTGCCTTAGTGCCGACATAGGACTCAGGTGCAGACTGTGACCTCAGGAATTTTTCTCACATTCAACAGCTAAACTATTAATCTATACTTAAACTATGTGTCTGTGCGAGACATACATAAAAAAAAAAAAAAAAAAAACAGCCTTTAAGAGAAGTATGTCAACAGATTATTACCTAGAGTAGACTTAAAAATATTTTTAAAAAAATGATATTGCTTCGTTTATTTATGTAGGCCTATTGCCTACTGTATATTCATTTTTTTCTTTTCTGTTGTTCTAGAAAGCGCATAGAGACGAATACTATATGCGCTTAGTGCATAAACATTGACCATTATTTATTTATTTTCTATTTATTATTACCAATAGATTTATTCTTCTTATTCTTCTTAAGGTTCTTACGTCTAATTTTAGGAAGAAAATTTCGAAGGACAAGATAAAGGTCACGGAAATACCCCGAGCATAAAAGAAAATGAATGTCCCATCATACACGGCTACTGCGTACTAATATTCGGTACGGTATTCAGGCAAATGTGGAAAATAACGGAAACGCCAATCACACACGACTTGCGTATTGTATAGTATTCAAGCACAAAGCGGAGGTATACACTGCTCTAATTGTATTGTATATTGGAAAGTGTTGATTTGTTCTACCAACACGAACAAAAAATAAAACGTAATTTTTATATTTTGCAACTAAATCTCACTTAAAAACAATCGTTTTGTTATTAAATTCAACAATCGGATCCCTTTTTACGGGGCAAGTTTGTTCACTGCCTGTGTTCATTTCGTCGACACCATCAGCAACCGAGACTTCATAATTATCATCTGCTTTTTGTTTTGCCATTAGTGTGTCTCTCTTTTTTAATGCGCGTCGAGTACCATGCGAATTAAAGCTCATACCTCTCACAGACTTCCTGGTAGTCTTATCCTTCCGAATACTCTTAGAAGAAGTAGGCCCGAAGAGTGATAACAGAACTGGTAGGACGAATAACCCGTGATACAGTCCAAAAACAATCACCAGAAAAAGAGTCTTAAACAATGTACGGAAGATGTAATACGAAGAGAAAGCCAACGTAAGCACGCCTAAGATTGTCGAAACGGCGCCTTGTAGCATGGGCATACCGAGTAAAAATAACGCGTTATTCATTCGCATTTTCTTGGTTTTTCCAGGGGCTATTGTGTACGAGTAAGTAATATGTGCGGAGAAATCGACACTAAATCCGATGCACAGAATGATGACGATCATGGAAATGGAATCCAGACGCACGCCCCAAAACGTCATGTAACCAATAACGCCAACCTCAATGGAAGCGATCGCAGCTACAACCCAAATACTGCAGCTCAGACTTGGAATAAGGAGAATAGATACTATCAACATGGCCGCAAGAGCTATTCCTAGGTTCTGCAAAGTGGCCGGTAAAATGGCAGTATATTGATCGAAGAAGACATAAAGAGCATTATACACCAATGTTTCATACGGTGAACTATCCAAAAGATCACGAGTTTGAACTAACAATTCTTGTTCTCTGTACGTGCTGCTGATATCTTTGGATATTAAAATGAACCGTGATGCAATTATGTCTGTCGAAGTATCGTCGGCGAAGACAATGTCCTGCGCATAATGAGCATACGCGTTGAGCTGTAAGAACTGTTGGCGTAATATCGCGACAAATTCTTCATTACTGCTATAAGTAATGTTTGCAGCTGCCAGATATTGCAGGTAAAAACGAAGCCATGATTCAGTGAATGTTGAAGTGTGGATGACGTTGAGCGCTTCGTAGTCTGATACAAGATTTTCAATGCTTTCTTGAGCGGAAACGTCAGAATAGTCGACCGTTTCGGTAATGGTCAACATTATACTCGGGCCGTACTCGCGAAAATATCTGTATTCATATTCATAGAAATCGTTCACATATGAGTCATCAGCCGCTAAACTTGTGAGGGCCAGACCCTCATCTACATTTAACACACCCCAGATACCAAATCCCAAATATACTCCATAAGAAATTAGGATAATGACTTTCGAAACGTTGTGTAAGACTATCGGTCCAAACACGCTTTTGAAAAACCGCATAAGCGAGCTGGGGGCGATTTCAGATGTCGTGGTTGTTGACTGTGACGGCCCACCGGCGCACATCACCCTGTAGGCCAAATTCGGTGCTTCGTCGTTGGGCTTTACTTTGAAACAAGTCAGGCAGTGGCGATTGCTAGATTCACGGTAACCGAACAACGCCAAAGCTGCCGCGAAAAATGTAATCTGAAAGATAAAGTCCGCGGTCACGGCGGCAGCAGCATACGTGCAAAATATCCGGACAGATGGAAATCTGGAGAAGGCACCTACAGCGAAAGCAATTCCGTCTGTGATACTCGTTATGGTGATGGACAACGCGGCTTCGCTAAATGCTCTGGACATCCTGTCTTCGACAGATTGGCGAATGTCTGTATTTCTCCAAGCAGCCAACATAATAAACATGTCATCGACGCCAATACCTAGACACAAAAAAAAGAAAAAAAAAATCGAAATTTGATCATCAATTATTCATCGTCATATAGGCCTAATCACCACTACCACCACCATTGCCAAAATCATTAAATAAGCATAATTATCAAGATATTGATGATAATTATATTATTATTATTATTATTATTATTATTATTATTATTATTATTATTATTATTATTATTATCCTCATGCCTCCTAGACCAATCAGAGCAGTTTCCAACTAGGACCCCCCCCCCGTTATTTTAGGTTTCAGTAAGTGTTTCATTAGTGTAATGAGGAATTATATTTGAAGATACATTTTATTACTTTTGAAATTAATTCCTCATTTACACTAAGCCTTCATTTGGTATTTAATTTAGAGTATCATTTTTATACTTTTCTTATCAATGCCACTTCTAGAGATGACAAGGAATAATTTCATTTTATTTTTTCTCAATTTTCTAAAATAATTTTAAAATTTAGGGGGCATTACATCCATTTAAGTTAAAGATATGAGTTTGTTATTAAGGAGGAATGTAGAAGATTGGAAGAAAAAATCTTTTATAAAAATCCTGAAACCTTACTCAGAATGAGAACTGGTAGACATGCCACCACCTCGGTGAATTCAAATCCACAGTAGCTAAGAAGGCCGAATGACGACAATATTGCAAGTAAAGCGGATATCACGCCACTGAGACACAGAAACGGCTTGTTCTGTACCCAGTCACGTTTGTTACTTGACAAGATCGCATAGGCTATCAAAAGCGAGCCTCCTACTGCGAAAATTGGTACAATTTGATCTACAACTTTGCTCAATTCAGTGTCTAATGACCGTGTCGTGTAAACGCGCACATCAATCAAATCTGATTCGTAGTTCAGAAGAAAATTGAGGAATGCGCTGCTCCAAAGATTCGTTGCTTGTCTAACACTCCTATCAATAGAAAGATAATAATTTAACTTCACCGCAAACGCACGCTCGAGTAAAACATCAGAGCCCGATTTTAAAGTAACGCCGCCAACATCAGTTCCAAGGAAATACTGGTTTCCGGTTGTGCCATCTGTGTATACTGGGTATGTTATTTGTAAATTATCAAGATTGTCCACATCATCTCTAAATGCCGCGAGCACTAACAGAGGAAGACACTCTCCATTAACAGCCAGACAGACATCGTTCCAACCGTACACAGTATCATTGCTTACGATGGTTATATTTTTCAATTGTTCATCCAAATTAAGAATATCTCTAAATATGTCAGTGGAGAGGGTATTGCCGTTGATATCCTTCGTTGTAATAATAGCCCAAGAATACAAAATGGTACGTGACAGTCGCGTAACAGACGCAGCGTCAACATCTTCTGATGTGAAAAAAGATTCAACCGTATCACGATCAATTTTACCCTGACCGTCTAGTGGTGTATAAAGGTACTCGACACTGGATACAGTTTTTAGGTATTTCAAGCCGTATCCTAGTCCGATAGCAGTCAGTACAGGGATTATAAGAAATGGCAATGGACAGCGGGCGATAATACGACCATACTTTGCATACAACTTGGTGAGGCCTCGTTCAATAAAGTCTAGTCGAGGGCGCTTCATAATTCAGGAACGTAATCTTTTAAAGAAAAGAAATGCATATTTAAATAATTGGTTCAAATCTAGGCAAATGAATAGCGTCTTTATGCTAGAGTAGAGAAAACAAACACGTTTTAGTATAACGTACAGAGTAAAATGCTGTAAATTATGATGAGCGTTGTAAATAATATTACCGGACAGAGAAAAGTATGAAGTGGCTGTACTATCAACCGGGCGGATTAAGGGGGAACGGGTGGCCCCATCCCCTTTTAGAAGGTAAAGAAAAGTAAAAAAAAAAAAAAAAAAAAAAAAGAAAAAGAAAAATTGATAGCCCAAAACGCCTCAGAGGTTATTTTCGGGCGTCTAGAACACAAAAAAAAATTCGTAAGGCATGCCCCAGGACCCCCTAGGGTAGTATTATTTCGATCGGCTCTACTTTAGGCCCCATTCCCAACCTCAACTTTTTGGACATACTGTGGATCCGCCCCTGATCAATCCCGCCCCTGATCAATCAAACTTGTGACATAGGCCTACTGTTCCGATGTCTACATCTACGTCTACTTCCTTTACCAAGGGATCCAGCGGACTCAAGGACACTGTGCGAGCTTTAGCCAATAAGAATGACCCGATTCTACCTAAAGCCAGTTTTCCACTAGGCGAATTTATTCGCGCGAATCAAAAGCGTGGGTTCCGTTCCTGAGCTCTGATTGGCTGCGCATTTTTTTTTATTATTATTTACCGTTCGAACTACCAAAGTTTCGCTGAAGCGAAAACTCCGATAGAAATGTGAACGCGCATGAACGACGCTCTCGATTCTCGCGAATAAATTCCCCTAGTGGAAAACCGGCTTAATAGATGCTTGAGTGGTTTGGCGCAAACGTTTCAGTTCAGTTTCTCAACATTGTTTTCGGACGTTTAGCTAAAGTCTGGTGTACTTCTCCAAAATCGGACTTTATTCAAACCTCCGATTTTGGAGTTTTTTGTGCGTACTATTAATTAATTACTCCGAAATGGAAGTGTCTGCGCCCGCCGCCAAAACTCCGATTTCACGGGATTTGCGTAGTTTACGCCAAACATCCGAAATCGGAGTTTCGTAGTTTTATACAAACCTCCGACTTCGGAGTTTCTGTGTACTATACAATAAACCTCTAAAATCGGAGTTTTCAAACTTTTATTCAAACCTCCGATTTCGGAGTTTTTGCGTATAGTACGCGAAACCGCTAAAAGTGGAGTTTTAAAACTTTTGTTCAAACCTCTGATTTCGGAGTTTCTGCGTCTATACGCGGAAACTCCGAAATTGGAGGTTTCAACAAAAGTTTAGAAAACTCCAATTTCGGAGATTTGGCCTATACTACGCAAAACCTCCGAAATCCGAGTTTTGGCGGTGGGCGCAGACACTACAGAAACGGAGTAACTACATAGGCCAATATGGTGGCTAGTTTTGATTTACATTTCTCATGTCTAGTTTTAAAATGTAATTCACACGAGTCATATTTGACTGTTTTTTTTTTTGTTTGTTTGTTTTTTTTGTTTTTTGTTGTTTTTTTTAAAAATTTATTTGGAGATTAGGCTTTGATCAAGACCTATGATATAAATTAGAATTACATTTTAAAGAAATTAGAACTACATTTTGGGAAATTTGAACTACGTTTTGAAAAATTAGAACTTCATTTTGGGAAACTAGTTCTACATTTTGAGAAATTTACACCTATGTTTTGATGAATTAGACATTGCATTTTGCAATTACATTTGGATTTCAACATGGAATTTTGCTGCGTATGGCACCCCATACTGCGAACACAGAATAAACTGATTACTAAAACAACTGAATTCTTCCCACAGAGCTGAATGTGCCCCACAATATTGTTTGCAATGCTATTTCGACGTATGTTTGCGTCAGGAAAATATCAATATCATTATAATGACTATAGCAACTCCGTCTTAAATAATAATGCATTCTAAAATAATAACAATAAACTATTATTCATAAACAGTAGGAGTGCTATCAGTATTTTTCCGTATGAAAGTAGGATGTGTTTGATGAAATGGACTATTTATGTTTTACTGTTCTATATCATATAGGCCTACTATAAGTATAGCACACCAGAAAACCCGCGAACTTTCTTAGTCTCTAAGGACTAACGATTTTATTGGATGTTTGGTGGAAACTCCACCTTCTAATTTGCGTAGAGACTGGACAGAAATAATTCTGTGGATAGAAATAATTCTGTGTACAGAAATAATTCTGTGCGGACAGAATTATTTATGTGAGAACAGAAGTAATTCTGTGGTGACAGAAACAAAATTAAGTAGTACAGAATTGATTCTGTACTACAGAATAGTTAGAAAATACTGTAATAATTCTGTAGTACATAATTATTTCTGTTAACACAGAATTAATTATGTACACAGAATAATATGACAGCGATAATTCTGTGGTACATAATTGTTTCTGTAACCACAGAATTAATTATGTACACATAATAGTGTGACAGTAATAATTTTGTGGTACATAATTATTTCTGTAACAACAGAATTAATTGTGTACACATAATAGTTTGACAGTAATTCTGTTGTTTCTCTAACAACAGAATGCCTATTTAAAGACTAGCAGTGTCCCAAACGGCGCCCCGTATACCGGTACTCAGTATTCATTATAACACGTCAGGTAGGGAAAAACATTCAATTTAATAATGGTCTTTCGAGGTATGACATCAGCAAAAGTCGCTGGACGTGACTTGTTTATCCGATTCTGTAGCCGAGAAAAAGGGGTTTTGTTTAAATTCATTGTTGTGTAAAACTAACCTGGGGCATTTGACCTTGAAATGCGTTGCTCGCATTCTTTTGGAGTGTGTATGATATATATATATGTATATATTATATATACACTGTATATATATATATATCGTTATTATCATTAGTTTTTAATATGCCTTTTTATTATTTTTTTTTACATTTTTATTAATGTTATTGTATATGAAAAAAATTGGGGCCAAGTTAACTTGGGACCGAGTTGACTACTTGGGGCCGAGTTAACTTGGACCCCAAAATAAAAGTTCGGTGACAACTTAATGAGCGGATTTTATGTGCATGTCTACGTATATGTAGGCCTATTTCTGTATAAATAAAGGTATGCCTATAATCTTGGATGGGTCTAGATGTGATGTGAATTTTGTAAATGTTATTATAAGTTATTTTATGGAGCTATACCGGTAACTCAAAGTTCAGTTTATCTTATACAAGCCACCTCTACTTAATGTATATATTTATGTATTATTTGGAAATAAATGAAACTGAACTGAAAGACGTGAAATTTAAATCTTCCCTTTCATAATTTTGTAAGAAATTAGAGAGGCTAGGCCCCTTGGATCCGCCTATTCTAATTTAGTAACCAATGTCCTGATGTGAGCCAAACTGTTTGGATATATATTTTTTACAATCGGCTTGTAAATCTTACGGATATGTTTGCCTTCCTGTTGTGTTATCGTGTTGAATGCTCAGTACGTTCCAAAATACTTGCGAAAACATTTCAAAAGTGATTCGGGTGGGAATAGAGCCCCCGACCTCCAGATTACGTTCCCAATTTTTTGCGAGAAAAATCTCGCAAAATGATTCGGGTGGGAATCGCGACCTCCAGATAACTAGCTAAATACGTCTCGGAGAGAACACAATAAAATTAGTTCGACTTTCGTTAAGTTATCCTTGTCATTGAAAATAATGATGATGAACCCCAAAAATTGTTTACTTGTCAAGTCACAGGCCTACTTTATATTTGTTTACAGTAAGCTATAAAAAGTCAAATGAATCGTTAATTTTTTATTAATATATTATGTAGGGTTTCTGTAGGGGTACTACTACAGTTGTCGTTCCAACTCTTTACTGAATTTAAGAAATAAAAATGTAACGAATCTCTATTACTCACTTGAAAACAATCTGAATTACAATCCCGGCTGAGGATCTCGTTGTGTTGGTGGCGAAGATAGCAGACACTGAAAAATGCAGCACAGGTTAAATTTCACCATTGGTCAGTGTCTAAAACGGCTAGCTCCATGGAAGTTTGAAATATTTATTGAAGCGTATATGTATTGTACGTACAGGAGTAAATATGACTAAGCAACCAGTTAAATAGATAAACACAATCTTACTGCCACGACGGATTGTATATAATGTGTTACAGTGTGTGATTATACAGGCTTGATGATCCACCCTTGACCTTGAGTTGTTAACAATCGCATATGCCTTAATCTCTGGCTTTATTATTGCCATAATATCTGGCTTGATTGTGTATAAAGGAAATTTTCCTCCATGATTGTATCAAGTTTAAGTTAACGTTGGCAAATCGTACTACTTTTTTTTAACGTGATTTGAATTTGTTTTTAAATTTAATTTAGCCATCATTTGAAAATGACATTATAACTGTATTCGATGTGTCTTCATACTATACATATATACTTTGTCTGTTTATCTAATTTTATTTAGTAAAACTATCTTCCGCTAAACAAATTATTGAGTGTTTATCTATTATTGTTCCCCTGCGCTTGCTACGGATGAACACAGCATTATACACACAGTACTTGTTTAAAGATCTTTCAATTAATGTTTATTATTGCTATACTTGTAATGACATTGTTACATAAAATGGTAATGGTAATTCTAATAAATTATATCATAAATATTATATAATGTAATATATATATATTTTATATTAAATCGCATTCGTACGATATTTATGTTATGTTTATTTTATCAATCTTTCGACAACAAACAGCAAAAAAGGTTGCATAAGGGTGCCGAGGAAAAGAAAAGTTAAAAAAAAACTGTCATAAAGTGATGTGCCTAACCAACCCATAGCCAACAAAGACATATACAATACAAAACCAAAAAAGAAACAATTATAACTAATACCTTCACAGATCGTCAGATTAAGAAAATTAAACCAATCTATGAGCAGTAAATTGATAACAATTAAAAAATACATATAAAAATATAATTATAATAATCCTGTACATTCGTCATAAATTAAAAAAAAAAAGAATTTATCTAAATAAAAAATTTAAAAAAATTAATTTGTATTAATCAATATCAATATTAGGGCCTATTATATTATTATAGGAATTTATGAACAAACGTAATTAAAAAAAATGGTAAATCGTCAATAGAATATAAATTGTAATGTACAATGATAAGAACAAAAGGTAAAAAAATTATTGTACAATCATCTAATAAAATAGCTATAATGGGAATTAAAAGATACTGAAAGATAATGTACAGTCGTCATTACATAACAAAATGAAGAAATATTTGATGGGTAAAAAAATTATTTTATAAGGTGCGATATATAAATCTTCAATATAATTATATATATATATAACATAATTATGCACAATTATATATAATTATATTTATTATATAGAATCAGTGTTGCTGCTTAGCACTGGGGTTTTATATATAAATATATATATATATATATATAATATATATATATATAATATATATATATATAGCAAGATGTGCTCGAATATGGAAACAATGGCGTAAACATTTTTATTACCATTCTTATTAATATTAATGAAGCGTTTGTATAATTTATTTATTAATTTGATTTTATAGGATGTTTCAACCTCCTTTTATCCAAAAAAAAAAAAAAAAATTTTAGTTTTCCATTGTAAATTTTGTTATTTGGAAAATAAAAAAGAGGAAAAAATCGTATCGGGCAAATTTTTTTTAATGAAAAACTTGTTTAGAAAGTGCCCCCACCAGAGAATTAACTAGGCCTATCTCTTACTGTCAATGCGTTACACCTAGGCCACTACGGCCAGAAAGTGTCGCAAATCCCAATAGGTGTCTCTTATACACATCTAGATTGTAAAATAGAGCATGTTCTGTAGGTCGCAGCTTGTGATGCAGAAACATATAAAGAAATTAATGTTGTTAAGTAGAAGGGCTATGGTTGATAAGATTATAACATCATGTTCCTTTTCGAGTACTGTTATTTATTATTTATTTCTTTACGGTGCTACACGGCAAACATTCGTAACAAACAACAACAATTATTTGAGTACAGTACTAACATAACACTCTATACTTAAACTCAAAGGACAAAATCAAGGTCACGGAAATACCCCGAGCATAAAAGAAATTATTGGAATGTCCCATTATCATGGCTACTGCGTATTATTTGGTATTCAGGCACAGGGCGAAAAATAATGGGATCGCCCATACCACGACCTGCGTATTGTTCGGTATTCAAGAAGCACAGGGCGGAGGTATGCATTCTATGAAATGACTGCTCTAGTTGTATTGTACATTGGAAAGTGTTGATTTGTTCAACCAACACGAACAAAAAATAAAACGTAATTTTTATATATTGCAACTAATCTTAATCAAAAACGATCGTTTTGTTATTAAATTCAACAATCGGATCCTTGTTTACGGGGCAAGATTGTTCACTGCCTGTGTTCATTTCGAAACCATCAACAACCGAGACTACATAATTAAGCTTATCATTATCATCTGCTTTTTGTTTTGCCATTAGTGTGTCTCTCTTTTTTAATGCGCGTCGAGTACCATGCGAACTAAAGCTCATACCTCTCACAGACTTCCTGGTAATCTTATCCTTCCGAATACTCTTAGAAGAAGTAGGCCCGAAGAGTGATAACAGAACTGGTAGGACGAATAACCCGTGATACAGTCCAAAAACAATCACCAGGAAAAGGGTCTTAAACAATGTACGGAAGATGTAGTACGGAGAGAAAGCCAACGCAAGCACGCCCAGGATCGTCGAAACGGCGCCTTGTAGCATGGGCATACCGAGTAAAAATAACGCGTTATTCATTCGCATTTCCTTGGTTTTTCCAGGGGCTATTGTGTACGAGTAAGTAATATGTGCGGAGAAATCGACACTAAATCCGATGCACAGAATGATGACGATCATGGAAATGGAATCCAGACGCACGCCCCAAAACGTCATGTAACCAATAACGCCAACCTCAATGGAAGCGATCGCAGCTACAACCCAAAAACTGCAGCTCAGACTTGGAATAAGGAGAATAGATACTATCAACATGGCCGCAAGAGCTATTCCTAGGTTCTGCAAAGTGGCCGGTAAAATGACAGTATACTGATCGAAGAAGACAAAAAGAGTATTATATACCAATGTTTCATAAGGTGAACTATCCAAAAGATCACGAGTTTGAACTAACAATTCTTGTTCTCTGTACGTGCTGCTAATATCTTTGGATATTAAAATGAACCGTGATGCAATTATTTCTGTCGAAGTATCGTCGGCGAAGACAATGTCCTGCGCGTAATGAGCATACGCGTTGAGTTGTAAGAACTGTTGTCGTAATATCGCGACAAATTCCTCATTACTGCTATAAGTAATGTTTGCAGCTGCCAGATATTGCAGGTATAAACGAAGCCATGATTCAGTGAATGTTGATGAGTGGATGACGTTGAGCGCTTCGTAGTCTGATACAAGTTTTTCAATGCTTTCTTGAACGGAAACGTCAGAATAGTCGACCGTTTCGGTAATGGTCAACATTATACTCGGGCCGTACTCGCGAAAATATCTGTATTCATATTCATAGAAATCGTTCACATATGAGTCATCAGCAGCTAAACTTGAGAGGGTCAGACCCTCATCTACATTTAACACACCCCAGATACCAAATCCCAAATATACTCCATAAGAAATTAGTATAATGACTTTTGAAACCTTATGTAAGACTATCGGTCCAAACACGCTTTTGAAAAACCGCATAAGCGAGCTGGGGGCGATTTCAGATTCCGTGGTTGACTGTGACGGTCCACCGGCGCACATCACTCTGTAGGCCAAATTCGGTGCTTCGTCGTTGGGCTTCACTTTGAAACAAGTCAGGCAGTGGCGATTGCCAGATTCACGGTAACCGAACAACGCCAAAGCTGCCGCGAAAAATGTAATCTGAAAGATAAAGTCCGCGGTCACGGCGGCAGCGGCATACGTGCAAAATATCCGGACAGATGGAAATGTGGAGAAGGCACCTACAGCGAAAGCAACTCCGTCTGTGATGCTCGTTATGGTGATGGACAACGCGGCTTCGCTAAAGGCTCTAGACATCCTGTTCTCGACAGATTGGCGAATGTCTGTATTTCTCCAAGCAGCCAACATAATAAACATGTCATCGACGCCAATACCTAGACACAAAAAAAAATATTTAAAAAAATCGAAATTTGATCATCATATTCATCGTCATATAATCACCACCCCCACTACTACTACCACCACACCATTACCAACATTACCACAATCATTTAGTAGGCATAATTATCGAAATAATAATGATAATTATTATTATTGCAATGATAGAACTCACTATTACCATGGTCATGTCACAATCGTTTTTCGTTGTTTCGTCGCCGCTTTCACTGTAAAATCGCCGGTAAAAAAACCAACGTTGTTACCGGTCGTCGCGGGTATTTGTCAAACAAATGATTATGATGATAAACAATAAATATAATAATATTATTATTGAATATTGATGTCGATTTTTTTTCTGTAAGATTTCTGAAGCACTCTTTGCCATTCTTCAGTATTACTGACGATTTTTGGCGCTAGATATTGTCAGGAACCTGATAAACCATCAGTATAGTACGATGGGACCAAAGGTCCACATTTTCCGGGATAGAAAATTGAAGTCACTCTCAAACGTTCCAGAAAACCATCCACCACAATTCCTAGACCAATCAGGGCAGTTTCCAACTAGGATCCCCTGTTTTTTTTAGGTTTCAGTAAAATCATCCTTATTTTCTCATTTGGAAATCATCCTGATACAGCAGGCGTGGATTTAGACCTTCCCACAGTTCCCCATGGCGAAGGTGGTGTACGGTAAGAATGGCCCCGGAAAAAATGGCCCCGGAAATAATGGCCCCGGAAATAATGGCCCCGGAAAAAATGGCCCCAGTAAAAATGGCCCCATATGACAGGTAGGTAAAAATGGCCCCAATAATCAAATTCTGAATTAAAACTGATTTTCTTGAGTCATTATATGCATTTTTTTATCTTAACTAATTTAGTTTTTAAAAGGAATCTCCCCAATAATCAAATTCTGTAACACACAATTGATCCACATGCTTTAACTAGTTTGTGGTTATCTATGAGGTTTGCATATTTTGGTAGTTAAAGTACTGTATACTGTATGTCATTCCTCTACTTTGTTAGTGAAATAACGTTTTTAAAACTTTTATTTCTATTATCAAAAAATGTTATTCAATGGCCATTGTTTTTCAAT